CTTCAGAATTTAGGGGGGCCGGATTGTGGCCATTGGAAGTAGAAATTGCCCTGATGTCACTCAGGGTAAACAGTGCATCTCCGGCATTAGGGGGAGTAATAGAGCACCATTGTTGGTGTCAATGGGAGGTATAGTTCCCCATTGTTGGTATCAGTGGGAGGAATAGTACCCCATCATTGCTGTCAATGGGAGGAATAGTACCCCATCATTTGTGTCAGTGGGAGGAATAGTACCCCATCATTAGTGTTAGTGGGAGGAATAGTACCCCATCATCGGTTTCAGTAGGGGGAATAGTACCCCATCGTTGGTGTCAGTGGGAGGAATAGTACCCCATCATTGGTGTCAGTGGGAGGAATAGTACCCCATCGTTGGTGTCAGTGGGAGGAATAGTACCCCATCTTTGGTACCAGTGGGAAGAATAATACCCCGTCATTGGTGTCAGTAGGAGGAATAGTACCCCATCATTGGTGTCAGCGGGAGGAATCGTACTCTATCATAGGTGTCAGTGGGAGGACTAGTACCCCATCATTGTGTCAGTGGGAGGAATAATACCCCATCATTGGTGCTAGTAGGAGGGATAGTATCCCATGTTTGGTGCCAGTGGGAGGAATAGTACCCCATCATTGGTGTCAGTCGGAGGAATAGTACCCCATCGTTTGGTGCCAGTAGGAGGAGTAGTACCCCATCATTGCTGCCAGTGGGAGGAATAGTGCCCTATCATTGGTGTCAGTGGGAGGGATAGTACCCTATCATTGGTGCCAGTAGGAGGAATAGTACTCCATCTTTGGTGCCAATGGGAGGAATATTACCCCATCATTGGTGTCAGTCGTAGGAATAGTACCTCATTATTGGTGTCAGTGAGAGGAATTGTACCCCATCGTTGGTGTCAGTGGGAGGCATAGCATCCCATCTTTGGTGCCAGTGGGAGGAATAGGGCACCATTGTTGATGTAAGTAATTGGCATTATGTCCCATTGTTGGTGTCAGTGGGAGGAATAGTACCCCATCATTGGTGTCAGTGGGAGGAATAGTGCCCCATTGTTTGTATTAGTGGAAGGAATATCGCCCAATCATTGGCATCAGTGGGAGGAATAGTACCCCATAGTGCCTCGTTGTTGATGTTAGTAATGGGCATTATGCCCCATTGTTGGTGGCAATGGGAGGAATACTGTCTTGCATGAGTGATAGGAAAAGTGCTGCAAGGTAAAGGCAAGCAAAGGGCTGCATCTAGCAGTAGCACGTCTGCCAATAAACTGAAATCCAATGATGTATTTCTCATCCTGGTTAATATCACATTTTCATACATCCCTCTCACCTGAGTCACCCTCAGAAGCATGGCCTTGAGAATACAAAGCATTTCTATGGGAGCATTACAAATGAAAAAATGATTGCCTGATTTGAGGAGGTAGCTGGCTTGTCACAGTCCACTGGAATTTATGAGTTTCACTTGTAAAACTCAGAGCATTTTACTGAAGTGAATTTAAGGAATTGCCTGACTCATTAACACGTTACTGACTACCACAAACCATCGTTACACGCAAGAGGCTTCTGCTGGGGGCAAGCAAAGGGCATTCCGTGAGTATTTTTACTTTACTTTTTTTATTAGTTGGAATGCAGTTCTGGAACCTCCAGCACTGAATGTATGTAATGGCAAGGGGTGCTGGGGTGTGCTGGAGGGTCTATTGATGCTGGCTGCTGGGAGATGGTTGAGGGGGGTATATTGTTGCTGGGGGGAAGTCTTATGTTGCTAGGGGGTCTATTGTTGCTGTGGAGTTTTATCCTGCTGGAGAGGTTTATTGTTGCTGGTGTGGGATCTATTGTTGATGGGGGAAGCCTTATATTGCTGGGGGATCTATTGTTGCTGGTGGGGATATATTGTTGCTGGGAGGGAAGTCTTATGTTAATGAGGGATTTATTGTTTGCTGGGGGGAGTCTTATATTGCTGAGAGAGTCTATTGTTTCTAGAGGGTCTTATGTTGCTGCGAGGGTCTATTGTTGCTGGTGAGGGATATATTGTTGAAGGGGGGAAGTCTTATGCTGCTGGGGGTCTATTGTTGCTGGTGGGGATCTATATATTATGGGCAGCATAGTGGCTAAATGGTTAGCCCTTCCGCCTGGCAGTACTAGGGTCGTTGGTTCGAATCCTAGCCATGGCACCACCTGCCTGGAGTTTGCATGTTCTGCCTGCGTGGGTTTCCTTCAGGTACTCCGGTTTCCTCCCACACTCCAAAGACATGCTGGTAGGTGAATTAGCTCCTGTTTAAATTGGCCCTAGTATGTGTATGAATGTGAGTTAGGGACCTTAGATTGTACGCCCCTTGAGGGTTAGGGACTGATGTGAATGTACAATATATTTGTAAAGTGCTGTGTAAATTGATGGCACTATATAAGTACCTGAAATAAATAAATAATATTGTTGTTGGTAGGGAAGTCTTCTGTTGATGGGGGATTTATTGTTAATGGAGGGGAGTCTTATGTTGCTGGGAGGAGTCTTATGTTGCTTGGATTTGTTGCTGGGAGGAGTCTTATGTTGCTGGGAGGGTCTATTGTTGCTGGGAGGAGTCTTATGTTGCTGGGAATCTACTGTTGTGCTGTTGTAAAGTCTTATGTTGCTGGGAGGGTCTATGTTGCACTGTTGCTGGTGGGATTATATTGTTTGTTTGGGGGGGGGGGTCTAGTAATCCACTGAATCACATTTCAACAAATAAGCACCAAAAATTGATACTTGTTCTGTATTCTGTAAAAGGTGCAGTATTGGGAGGTGCGTAGTGGGTGGAGACAAGGGCCGACTCAGAAGAGGGGAGTACCTTCACTATTCTCTGATAATAAAGCTTTATCCATGACAGCCCGGTTACTGCGATCTCCAACAGCCAATCAGAGCAGAACGCTGTGGCCCAAAGACCTTGGCATAGCGCCATTTTAACACGAGGCTCTGGGTGCCGATGGTGCTGATGAGGGTAACAAGCTGGCACCCAAGGGCAGCCTGTATAAGTTACCATGTATCCAGCCAGTGCTGGTCCCCCCAGCACTGCATAGTATTTGCTTGGTTTGCTATAGCTATCATAGCAAACCATCCAATTGCTATGGTGCCCAGTAGTAGTGGGGGGCAGCACTGTCTTGCTAGATAGCTTATGCAAGTTGCAAAAGCATTTTACAAATACATTTGGGCACATTGCTTTATTTATTGCAAAGAGGACTTTGTATCACTAGGGATAGAGAGTAGAGAGGTAGTGGGCCCTTAAAGAAAAATTTTCCGTGGCTCCACTTGCTTAGCTGCAGGGGGGACCGCTGCAGAAAGAGGACTATTTTTCAGTTTTTGGGTGCAGTCGTATAATCTTCATGCAACGGCCCCCAATAGATAAACTATAGTCCTGGCCTCTTTACTATCAATCCACCGGATAGTTTTTCTATTTTGAGCCGCTGCATGAAGATTACCCGACTGCACCCGAAAATGGAAAAATGGACCTCTTTTTGCAGTGGTCCACCCTGCAACTAAACAAGTGGAGTTAGGGAAAATTAAACGCCGCAAACTGCCATTTTTGGACTTCTTTTGACCCCAAAAAAATGGGGGGTGTAAAATATTTTAGCAGAAAATGAAAGCTAATCCTGCTGCCATATCCAAGAAATATAAAGCTGGCCATACCCCGGTAGAATTGTAGTCAAACTGTCTTTCCTTTTTGGAACATTGGCTAGACTTTCTAATGTATGGTTAGAGTTATATTGTTGTTCGTTTTCCACCTTAGCGACAAGAAAATTCGAAGGAGTAGGATGAAAAATACATGTCATACTTACCTGCTCTGTGTAATAGTTTTGCACAGAGCAACCCCAATCCTCCTCTTCCAGGGTCCCCGAACAGCTCTCCTAGCCCCTCCCTTCTGTCAGGTGCCCTCATAGCAAGCAGCTTGCTATGGGGGCAACTGAGCAGGCCCACTCCTGAGCTGCGGCTCTGTATGTCCATCCACACACAGAGCTGCGGCTCAGCTCAGCCCTGCCCCATCCCTCTCCTGATTGGCTTACTGGCTGTGATAGAGAGCAGCGGGAGCCAATGGCTCCCACTGCTGCCTCAGCCAAACAGGAGTGAGAGTCCCCAGAGAACCGAGGCTCTCGTGGACATCGCTGGATTGAGATGGGGCTCAGGTAAGTATTAGGGGGCTGGGGGGCTGCTATACACAGAAGGGTTTTTACCTTCATGTATACAATGCATGAAGGAAAAAAACATTGAGCCTTTACAGGGCTTTAAGGGCTTTCTTATGAAATTAGTTGACTCAATGATGGCAAGAAAGAATGTTCTGATTAAATTATTTTTCTATGAACGTTAAAATTAAAATCTATGGCCAGCTTAAAGTATATTTCCACTACTGAAGCCAAACTGGGCCCCATTCACATAGCATAACCTAAAACAAATGTGAAAAATTGCAGTTTACCTTTTTGAGATGTTCTATTCTGCCATTCTGCCCCTCCCCAGCAAGGAAAATATCTAGGTTGTTCTCTATGTTTATTAGGGGACTGGGCAGCTTTGTTTGCCGTAATTAACCCTGCCTGTACTGTGCCGGCATCTTCATTATCAAATGCAACTAGATGCCAACACAGCCTGTCCTAACAAAGGGTTAAAGGTGCAAATACTGGGCTTCTTGTATTGTATGTTAATGAGGACAGACTTGGGACAGGCTCATGCCAACATTGTTCAACACCTTGCCACCCTGCAGTCAGCCATGACACCTTCTCCTGAGAAACAGCTAAAACAGGGGTGTCAAACTCAATTTCATCATAGGCTGCATGAGCCTTATGGTTGCCATCAAAGTGCCAGCTGTATCTGTAAAGCTATATAAATATATACATTTTTTCTTAGAGGATAGGTGCAGGAACTCAACTACGACCCCATTTCACTAAACTGCATCAAATGGTGGGTGTATCCAAATTGCATGATCAATAGGAGGATCTTAAAGGGACAATAAACACCAGGAGTGTTTTATGTGCAGAGTTCAAGGGTGCGCTACATACAGACGGCAGAGTTCAGGGGTGCGCTGTGTACAGAGTGCAGGGGTTGAGGAGTGTGCTACATACAGAGTGCAGAGTTCAGGGGTGCGCTGTGTACAGAGTGCAGGGTTGAGGAGTGTGCTACATACAGAGTGCAGAGTTCAGGGGTGCGCTGTGTACAGAGTGCAGGGTTGAGGAGTGTGCTACGTACAGAGTGCAGAGTTCAGGGGTGCGCTGTGTACAGAGTGCAGGGTTGAGGAGTGTGCTACGTACAGAGTGCAGAGTTCAGGGGTGCGCTGTGTACAGAGTGCAGGGTTGAGGAGTGTGCTACATACAGAGTGCAGAGTTCAGGGGTGCGCTGTGTACAGAGTGCAGGGTTGAGGAGTGTGCTACGTACAGAGTGCAGAGTTCAGGAGTGCGCTGTGTACAGAGTGCAGGGTGCTACGTACAGAGTGCAGAGTTCAGGGTGCGCTGTGTACAGAGTGCAGGGTTGAGGAGTGTGCTACATACAGAGTGCAGAGTTCAGGAGTGCGCTGTGTACAGAATGCAGAGTTCAGGAGTGCGCTGTGTACAGAGTGCAGGGTTGAGGAGTGTGCTACATACAGAGTGCAGGGTTGAGGAGTGTGCTACATACAGAGTGCAGGGTTTAGGGGTGTGCTATGCACAGTTTGCAGGGTTCAGCTCTCTTTAACAACCTGTCCACATCTCACTTCCACTCCTCCTTGGCTCTGACCTCTACACCCCTCTCCCCCATCAACCACTTCAGCACACATCTCCCTCCACAGCCCTCAGCTTCCCTGCCACAAAAATCTTTCTCGCATCCCACCTACCTGGTCCATCTCTCGTACCTCCCAGCACTGTAGATGGCTCTGCTTCTCTCTCACTAGTAGGGAGCTCATTGGTCGGTGCTAAGCACACCCTCCTGCCTGCATGCCTGAGCTAAGGGCAGATGAATTCCAGGAAGTAAATGCTACATGAATTATCTTCCTTTACTCAGTTTGGCCATAGCCAGAAATGCTGGGGGTGGGGGGGGGGATCAGAGTGATTTCTAAGCAAAATAAAGCATGAAGACATGGATGGATGGGGGAGTTTGCTTTGAATATTAAAAATTAAGTAAATAGCGTTGACAGTTTGTGGTGCTCAGATACAGTTGAGTTCCTCTTTAAGAGCGTGAGGAGAGCTATAAACCCCTAATGACAATTGTAAAATGAATCTGATGGTTTGCACTGTATGAGCAAAAGACACATTCCCTTTAAAATCGCATTGGGATTGTATAGTTGAAATCCAGGCGCCATGGGTCATGCCTCCATCCCAGAGAAACATTACTTTTCACTTTCTTGTAAAACAAAAAAAAAAGAAGGCCTGATTTTTTTTTCCAGTCAATATTTCTGTACATGTCACAATGAATTCTTTATCCTTTGTATCTGTCCAGGCATTCCGTTTGTGTAAACCTAAGCTTCAAAGACGACTTACAAAGTTACATTATTCCGACTTGCTTGACGTGTGCCCCAGACCGAGAGCTAGCACACATTTTTACATTAAAAAGAACAAAAAGGTATGTCTGTGGGGCGCAAGTATGAAAAAGAAATCTATATTTCAAACGTAGTGTCATAAATCACTGGCGCTGGCTTCCAGTCACCTCCAGCCAGACATGTCCAGAGCATTTTATTCAGCGGTGACTAACGTGTTGCAAGAAGCTGCCAGGAGGGATAAGACTGCCGGTCGCACGCTGCGGGGCGCACACAGCTGGTTCACAGCACACATGTCCCCAGGATTGTGCAAGTCTTCCTGCATAAGGCTGGAAAAATAAGATCCAGGCCTAGAAAGGCACTATTAGAAAAATATTTCATCTACCAATGTCCCTAAAGTCTGGCCGCATAAGAAATATCATTATATGTGTGTGTGTGTGTGTGTGTGTGTGTGTGTGTGTGTGTGTGTATGTGTGTGTGTATATATGTGTGTATATATATATATATATATGTGTGAGAATAATAATAGATCTGTTAGTAAAGACAGCCCATTATATGTTTCTGATCACTGCTATTACTGTATAAAAAATAATAAATCAATAAAAAATCTAATATAAACTCACAGGCCCCTTTATTAGGTACACCTCTTCAATTGCTTGATAACAAATTGCTAATCAGACAATCACATGGCAGCAACTCAATGCATTTAGGCATCTAGACGTGGTGAAAACGACTGGTTGAAACCAAGCATCAGAATGAGGAAGAAAGGGGATTTAAGTGGCTTTGAACGTGGCGTGGCTGTTGGCGCCAGAAGGGCTGGTCTGCATATTTCAAAAACTGCTGATCTACTGGGATATTCATGCAGAACCATCTCTAGGGTTTACAGAGAATGGTCCGAAAAAGAGAAAATGTACAGTGAGTGGCAGTTGTGTGGAGGAAAATTCCTTGATGATGTCAGAGGTCAGAGGGGAATGGGCAGACTGGTTCGAGATGATAGAAAGGCAACAGTAACTCAAACAACTACTTGTTACAACCAAGGTATGCAGAATACCATCTCTGAACGCACAACACATCTTTTTCTGAATGCACAACCTTGAAGCAGATGGGCTAAAGCAGCACCTGATATCACTCCTGTTAGCAAAGAACAGGCTACAATTCCAAAATTGGACAATAGAAGACTGGAAAACCGTTGCCTAGTCTGATGAGTCTCGACTTCAACTGCGACATTCAGATGGCAGGGTCAGAATTTGGCGTAAACAACATAAAAGCATGGATCCATCCTGGTGTGGGGGATATTTTCTTGGCACACTTTGAGCCCCTTAGTACCAACTGAGCATCGTTTAAATGCCACAGCTTACCCGAGTATTGTTGCTGACCATGTTCTTCCCTGTATGACTACAGTGTACACATTTTCTGATGGCTCCTTCCAGCAGGATAATGCTCCATGTGACAAAACTCAGATCATCTCAAACCGGTTTCTTGAACATAACAATGAGTTCACTGTACTGCAATGGTCTCCACAGTCACCAGATCTCAATCCAATAGAGCACCTTTGGGATGTGGTAGAACGGGAGATTCGCATCATGGATGTGCAGCCGACAAATCTGCAGCAACTGCGTAATGCTATGATGTCAATGTGGACCAAAATCTCTGAGGAATGTTTCCAACACCTTGTTGTCTATACCACAAAGAAGGCAGTTCTGAAGGCAAAAGGAGGTCCAACCCAGTATCAGCAAGGTGTACCTAATAAAGTAGTCATTGAGTGTATATCACTGTATAATCTCACCAGACCTTAACCCCCTTGACTTCTTTTATGGGGTATGCTAAAAGGGAAGGTGTACTCAATGAAAATCACAGATATGAACAGGGGAGGACTGACAACTCATGGGGCCCCCGGGCAATAGGGGATCATGGGGCCCCTGTGTCTTTGCCCAAACTCAAAAAAGCCTATGAAAAAGGTACCAGGGGCATTTCATGGGGTCCCCTACTGACCCCTGGCCCTCGGGTAGTGCCCGAGTTTCCATATGGTCAGTCCGCCCCTGGATATGAATCACCTGAAGGACGCATCATGAACGAATATGCTCAAATTGAAGGAAAAGTTAAGTTACTGCATCTGGTTTATGTGAATCTTGCAAAGCGCTTGGAACTTTGCATCACAAATGGTGGAAATCTCATTGAAGATGTTATAGATTAATATTCCAATTAAATAAAATTGAAAAACGTATTGAAAATATATATTTTGCCTATGTGTCCAGACTTTAGGGACACCCTGTATAGGACTGAATGGAAAGATCACTTCTAAACATTCTCTAAAACCTGATTATATTTATTCGCTCTGTGCAATGTGTATCATAAATGTTTGTCATGATTTTCTTGTTTTTTTCATAAAAATGTGTTTTCCTCTGCCGGTGCTGTGCTGCTGATCTCCTCCAGACTTTTACAGCCACGTCCTGTCTATATGCACTTGCACCAGTTTGGCTGCACATCAATGCTTAGGCTGGCCATAGATACCTCCTTATTTTTAAAATTTTATCAGTCAGAGGGCTGATTGAAAATAAACTGAATGGATTCCCTCATCCACACAAGAGAGTGGGACTTTGGTTGTCGTTATACAATGGTGGACATCCAGGAATGTAAGAACAGCAAATAGAACATTCCACAGCACATAGCACAAAGAATGACCAAAAGGTGTAGAATAGCCCAGGAGATAAGAAGCTATACAAATAGGTTACTTTAACAGTATGTCATACAAAAGCAAGTGATAGTAACTCCAACACAATGAAGTATCAGGTGAAGATTATAATAATCCACATAGGTCCAACATCTCTCCAAAAAAGAAGAAAGGGGAGGAAGAGAGGAGGCAGGGAGGAATCTCAAGAGAGGAAGAGGGGTAGAAGGAGGAGTCCAAGGTCAGGGAGGAGAAGAAGAAGGAAAAGCAATACAGGGATACCACCCCCAGTAAGTTAGGTAGCCCACTAACCACTGCAGAGGTAAGTACAACCAAGGCCAGAAGATCAAATTGCCAAAGCCCTGACCTCCACTCAGTCAACACAGATTTTCCTGAATGTTTGGGGGCACTTACGGCACATGTATGTAGGCTTATATAGAGCTAAGATGAAATCAATCAGGGATCTCCACTGAGAGATCGTAATGGGGTCATACTGCCTCCATTTTGAAAGGATAACCTTCTTATTATAAAAACCAGCATAGAACACAAAAAGTCTTTTGTAGGTAGATTGAGCCACTGAGTCACAGATTCCTAACAGGAGAATCTTCAGATCCTTTGCTATATCTCATCTATAGTATTGGCATCTGTCACCACAGCCTACCAGAAGTTCTGAAGAAGGGGACACTCCCAAATTACATGGAAAAACATAACACTTCCTGAATACACTTGAGACAATTTGCAGATCATGTATGGTAAATCCGGGAGAGGCATTGAGGGGTGTAATGCCCATGAAGAAATTTAAGCTGAATAAATCTATCGCTTGCCAAAATGATCGTGGGCACATATTGTTGGATATTCTCGACCTAGTCATCCTCTGACAAAGTGGGAATGTCTCTCTGTCAAGATTAAAATAATTGGGTCCCCTTACCTTTATCCACACAGAGGAGTGAGAAACCTCTCTACCTTATCAGGAGTTAGGGTCACTGCTGAAGGGAATTGCGCCTGCACCACATGTCGGACCTGTAAATATCTAAATAAAATCCACGAAATCCACAAATCTAGCCCATACACAGGGGTCAGAGATAGAGCAGAGGTGCAATAGAGCGGAGATATGATAGTGTGGGATTGCTCCACAATGCGGCATATGGGGAAACAGTATTGGCCTCCCCAATAGTTGCAGTCACCTGCCCCCACATCCTGACCGCTGTATGTGTCAGTAGTGTCATACTGGATCTGGGGCTACAATAGGCCAAGTTACTGAGTTTT